CCTCGTATCTGTACAGCCGTGGGAAGCCACGTAGCAAGAACGAAGGCCATATATCAGCCCATACATCCAATTTACTCCCTATATCCCTGGCACTTCATGAATAATGCACGTCTCTCCTTGGCCTACCCGGCAACTCACCTCGAAGAGGAAGTTGAAGACCTGTAAGGAAAGGCGGGCATCCGAATAGGAAACGTTCCCAGGGGGTATGAGATACAGACAGAGCCAAAAGGAAAGGATTACCACTTGCAAACTCTCAATCTATACACTCCCCTGCTACCCTGACCGCCCCTCCGCCTGCAAGTCATACCGGGTGTCTGTGGTCATGCTTCACCGATCCGCCCATGAGTTCCAGCATCTGCGCCTTGTGCCTCTCTGCTTCAGTCTCCCAAACAGTTGGTGGAATGTAAGTAATGCCCTCTGGCTCTATCCCCCACAAGCGCTGGACAGTGCCGCGGTCGAGAAGTAATGGACGCGAGATAAAAGGGGGGCGAGTGAAAGTACCCTCCATAGGAGAGGAAGCATGAGGCTTCGATGCTGCGGCAAGGCAGCCAAATGAGAGCACGACCGTGAGGCTGTAGGAGCAGTGGTCTTGGAAAGACTACATCGGGCGGCCAGAGTTTGAGAAGACATGTGGAGAGTCTGAAGCAAGAACGCAAATGCGGCTACTTCTAGTAGTACTGGTACGTGGTGGTAGGGCCCCGTCCTCGCGCCTCTGCCCTTCATCTGCCTCTATCTACCACAAAAAATACCATAGCACGAGTTGCATCCCTAATGGCCTGTATGTATTGCATCGGAAGGTGTGGGGTCGTTAGACAGGGTACAGAACACAAGGAATGGCGGAACACTGCTCTGGTTAAAGAGAGTGGAGCACTTGCGAGGCGAGATCATATACTTGAAGGACAGAGGAAGCTTGCCCTGCCTGAAGACAAATAAAATACTTGAAAGACGCGGCAACTCATTACATTTACACGTCCACAGATCTTCGAATGCAGATATTGCCTGTCTGCGTCCCACAACGAGTACACGGAATATGGTGGATAAGAAGAGCTTCAAGTAAGCATCAGAACTGCGCCTTCAGGTCACATTATCTGCTGCACCTTGGGCTCCTCTTATTGCTTTTGGCAGTCGGAACCTCAGGAGCAAGCGCATTAATGAGTTCAGACGCCACAAGGCCTGAAACCTTTTGTAATGCGAGTGGAGTTGCTGACTCGATGGTAGGCAAATGCTTGCCTCCTTAGAGAAGAATCACTTTATACGATTGTGCTACTTGATGCCTGCGATGTGTAATGGATGTCGGAGAGTCAAAGAGGGGAATAGGCCCTAAGTAACTGGGGGCATTGTGCTGTCAATATATGCATGGATCTCAAATCTTAGAGGTGACGACTTCCGTTTCTTTCTCTGACCTTTCTTGTTCGACTACCTCAGCCATCTGCGAATGAGGAAGCAGGTGTGGGTACGAGGCTCTTGCATGAGGACAGTCACATCAAAGTGTGGGAGATGGTAAGTAAGGGGGAACAAGAAGCATAGGGGCAGCGGGGATTAAACGATGGTTGTGTTGTGCTCTCCGCGGCTGCCACGTCAAGCAAGTAATTTTATGTCTTGACGGGCAGGCACTGAAGCTCAAATAGTTCTCTTCTTATTAACGACGCTTCTCACACTCTCTCATGACTCACACTGCCGGCTAACTGGTATTCCTATACTCTGGCGCTCTTCCCTAGGTGCTGCAGCCCGGTGAGCTCGCTCCCCTACACACACACGAGTACCCCTATACCTTCATCGTGCAGGTGAGGAAAAGGGCCGGCGAAAAACCTGTAGCACGTGATTGTGGGTATACTAAATCCCAAAAGCCTGTCTTGATGATGCCTTGGTGGTCGCGAGGCCGGAGGGACTTACTCTCACATCCCTCCGTGACTTCTCCTCTTCGAAATTCTAGTCTGGCTCTACGCTCGAAGTACGGGGAGCATCCGATGAGCACTTAAGCACTGTCACCGCCGAGGTCGGCCAAGTCTTTTCTTTCACTCTTGAAGGTGTGTGGTGGAGTGGATGATGCCGGAGGGAGCATGGCTGGCTGGAATGGGGAGGGGCAGAAGGGAAGGGAGGAATGTTCGACCATGCGGGTTCTGCTTTGAATGTTCAGGTGGATTATTTGAGCGTGCATGATGTATGGCGGCGTGCTGTTGTCTGTTTCATGCGCTGGCGTACGCAGATCTCCCGGTGTGTGCTCTGACTTTATTGAAGCCAGGCCTTCTGCCTCCCCCATCTGACTCCAGACCTCTGGTCTCTTCCGGTTGGCATCCAGGTGATGAGCCTGTGGAGGTTAAGGGAGGTAGCAGGATTGACAAGACGCACAGTGCTCGGAATGTGGGCGAAAGCGAGTTTAGGGAGCTTCTGATCGAGAAAAAGCTGCAGGCGTAAATGTCTGGAGGTGGAGGCAGATGGATGAGGATGCAGAACTTCGTGGGTAGAGAAATGCCTGAAATCGTCCCCAAACTCCAAAGAGAGTAAGTGGCGGCTTATGGTGAGCAGCACAAGGCTAGAAGCTTGAACGTAAAAAATATGGAGGCAACATTGGGGTTAGGGCTAGGGTTAGAGAAAACCCTGTGTGGGTGCGTCGAGCCTTGTCAGCTTTTCTGGAAAGCCTGCAAGGATTGATTTTTGAAGGTCAAAATGTGATGTTCAAGTGATTACAACTGATTAAGTTGCAGCATCTTAGCATGATATGACGGTCCAGTACTTTTTTGGATTTCTTTGGCCACTACACACACTGGCCATCGGTCCCCCGGCAATCCGTATTATACATCGTCTTTACGCGTGCAAACAGCGCTGCTCAATCAAAGCCATAACAACATACATGAAGGAGACGACCAAACGCTAACGAAGAACCAGACTCTCCCATGGCCCTCTGCTTGCCTGTTACTGGTCAACACGCCAACAGCGTCTTGCCCAAATCGTCCAATACTTGCAAGCCAGCCACTAGGCTCGAATCTGCCGACTGTCTTCGCTTCTCAAAGGGAGGTCGCGTTCATCCGGCGTCCAACCTCTGACAGGATCACCCCCATCTGTCGGTCGTGCCCAAAGATCTCCCACGCCCGGTCCTGACCCCGCATGCTATGCTCCAGGAGCAGGTGACGGTTCAACGTGTACCGATGGATGGCCTCCACAGTGAGATTCTCCCGCCCCTCCGTCACAATGGTGACTTCGGTCCCGAAGTTGAACCCGTTCCGCTTGTTCAGATTGTAGGCGTCCGTCGTGAACAGGACCAGCCCCATCAACAAGCCTTCCGTCCCGAGGGGCCAGCCGTTGCGATACTGCGTGCGCTCGAGGTTGAAGATGATGTCGACCT